GTAAATCAGTCCTAGGCACTCTCTCACTTTAACGAGAGTAAACGCGCTTGTTTCCGAGTACAAAATACTCCTAAAGCAGCTAATGCACTATTTTGGCTCTACTTTCGGTTGACTGATAATATGTCAAATCCTGTAAATAGATTAAAAACCTTTAAAAGAATACCTTTTCCCTCTTTTTTCTTTCTTTCTTAATTAAGGATAATTTAAAATCGATTATTTTTCTGTATATAATGAATTATTAAAAGATTTTTTTATAATTTTACTAATGTCTCTTAAAATAAGTGATGATATGTAAACATAATAACGTAAAGATATTTTTTATCTATAGAATATCACAAAGAAAAATATATTTTTATTTACAACAATCGTAGAAAGAGATAGATTCGCTTGTTAACTATTGTAACATTATATCAATTTTCTTACAATAAAATTTATTCTTCTGATGAAGTAAAAAGTTCAGGTTACATACATATTAAAACAGAAAAAATCTGACATTTGGATTTTATGTGCAAGTGAAGTTTGACTGTAGCGGATAGATTCGAAGACTAGTGTTTAACAAGAATTAGCATCTAATTTGCAAGTCTGCATTTATAAGTGCGTTTATTAGTGTTAGCTTTTTATTAACATCTGCAAATTATGCAACATCGTGCAGCATCGTGCGGTAAAGCGTCTTTCCACGATGAAGTTTTATCGTATTCTCATGGTAATGACGTTTTTTTATACGGCGGGGCTAAATTTAAGGGAAGCAACCGTTAAATATGGGAGACAAATAGTAGCGTATTATGTGAAATACGTTTCACATCGGGGCGGCGTTGCAATAAGCGATTTTAAAAGCTATTTACCAATTCATTTTGTTGCAATCTCGCGATGCGAAACGATCGGAAGTTTAGTCAAAGGAAACTAGGACGCGGTCAATCGCGGGGAGGAAACGTGTCGACTGGAAAGATGAGAGCAAAAGCGATAGGAAAAGGTAGAAACACAAGAGGTAACTGGTAACCTGCAGCGAGCGAATCAATAGCCTCTTCGTAAAGATCTCCGTAAAAACAAGTCAGGAGTGGGAAATTTCTTTGCACGGGGCGTTATTCCGCGGCCTCGTAATCGGAATTGCGGATTTTAAAACGAACCGTCGATTTTGAATTAATCCGGAAATGTCGGCGTATTAAATTCCTTTAATCTCGAATCCTCGGAGTCGGAGCTTCGGCAATCCTGGGAGTCGGTTCCCACAATCGCGGAGGAATATTGACAATAAAACGAAACCGTCGTTCGTTCTCGTTATCGCGACAAATAATAATCCCGCGCCGCCGATGCCCGATGTAAGCCGAGAAAAACATTACGGGCGCACCGTATATCTCCGACCGGCGTTTATCGCGCGTTACCGGGACAGCACAGCGACCTACAACCAACGAAGGGAAGCAGCACCATCGTAAGAAATATTAAGGGTCGGCGGAAAAAAAAAAAAAGAAAAGCCCGAACCGGATGTTCGAATGGTCCATAAAATACGATGGTTGAATTGGCCCGAGTTCTATGACGCGCGTCGGGGCGGTGTGAAAAATGTTCCAGCGGTGCCGCGATCGAAATGAAACGATCGCATTATTACTTGGGTGTGGTAGAAGTTACATCGAGGACCCCTAGGTTTGCCGCAACTCTTTCCGTCTACAAAGCTTTATATTTGCCTGATCTGTAATAGAATTTCTTGACGAAACTTCGTCGAGATATCAATAGTTCTCCAGTCATGCGAATAAAATTCTAACATCTCAAATACAGACGGAATTTTATGGATATTTTATGTTGCCAGAAAATTTTAATTTAAAAATCTCGTTAAAAAGATATTTTATGTTGATATTATGCTAACATTAAAAAGATTATAAATTATGCCATTTACATAGAAAAAAACATAAATTCACTGTATATTCATGATTTGATATTCATAATTCTTTAAATGATCAAAACTATACTTCAAGAAATGATCGTATCGCATGTCTGACACGTTGTATCGAACAGTGAATGACTTGTTTGTTATTTTCTTTCTTAAAAATTCAGAATTTAGGTTCAATCGAATATTTTTGTTGGTAACCTATTGTTTGGCAACGTATGGTATGGAAAATAAAAACTCACTCCAACCAACCTCGCGATGCAGTTTTTCGAAGCTGGTGCACGGAAACGTTTTTCCGGGACACTCGCGTGCGCGACATTTTCAAGAAATTACCTCGTGCAATTTTCTACCTTTCGTTGACTCGTACCTTTTACTATCTGGGCAGAAAATGATTTTGTATACTGGCGAATTTGTACCGTGACATGTATTGATATGATGTTAGAATTATTCAACGAATTATGGTCTATAAACTCCACCGACGTTAAATATTTTTAAAAAAAGCAGATGTACATATTTTGGTATATATGTTGTATGAATTTAAAGTAAAAACAAATTTTACTATTTTAAATATGAGGCTTAGTAAATGCGAGATTGATTAAATTTCTTGAAAAAAAAAAAAAATCAATTATTTTCGATTTCTAAATCGCGATTAAAGTATTGAAATGTTAAAAAAAAGTTAGACATTTGAGAAACAATATATTTACCAATAATTATGTAAATATATAAAAAGTATTGTTTTTACGTAAATTATATTTATATAAAATATGAAGACTAAATGTGTGAACGCGATAAACATGTAATAAATACCTAGCCTGCAAATTGTATTTCTGGAAAAGCAAGAATTACATAAAAGAATTAAATAGATAAGAAAATCTTTCCTTCATGATAAAATAAATGATTTGTGAAAAAAAAATCTTTTTTGTTTTTATTTTCTTACAATTTAAAAAAAAGACTGTTAACGCAAATTTAATTTACTTACGAAAAATGTCCGATATCAAATTGGTCAAAGAGCAAAGAATAACGGTTAAGTTAGGGAAGTTTTTAGGGTACCGCGTGGGTATCCCGCTATTGACCGGAAGAGATGATCGCGACGCAAATAGAAAGGGATAAGTGGAGAAGGACAGGTGGTAGTAGGACACACACGTATAGGGTGAGGGAGGCGCACAAGGGAGGCGAGAAAAGAGAGTAGTGGTTTCCTCGTCAAAAAAGATGAAGTCAACGCGGTTTCGTGGAGGGTAGCTGCACACGGCTGAGCCCGCGGCGACGCGAGGGCGGGGGTGCGTTCTTTAAGGTAGGAGGCATGCGCGGACGTCCGGGGGTGCAAAGCGGCTCTCGGAGGTTAGTCGCTTGCCAACATCACGACGTGCCGCTTGCGCCTCGCGATCGCGTTGGATTTACACGCACTCGCTTTCTTCCCCTTCCACCCTCGTCGTCGCGCTATCACTCCGCTCGTCGTCAGTATCCGATTTGTCAACTGTCCGGCATTGATCGAGAGAAATTGTCAATTTGTTTGTGACGTCGATTCTTTTATCGACGATTCTTGCAAATCGAATTACGAATCCTATCAAATTTCAAATTTATTGAAAACAGCGCGTAAATTTTTACGCGCTACGACAACGACGACGACGACGACGACGACGATCGCGTGCGCATTTTGGGGATGTGTATCAGAAAAGTGCTCCGATTGACCGGTTAAAATGTGGATCGCACGATCGCGATTGCGAATGAGGAACGATTGATGACGTGATTCACTACGGTAATGATTCACCCCTGGGGATTCTCGACGCATCCTACTTGGGCGAACGTTTGTTCTCTGACGATCAACAATGATCTACGGATCGAAGTGACTGATTGTGGCGCGATGATGGAATGAAAGTGCGCGCGGGGGCGCGTTCAACCCGGGACCAGTTTTTTCGCGACAAGCAGTGGCTAAACAGTGTCGCATACTCGACGAACAGCGATCTGTTGTGAGATACCAGCTACGACGGATTCCTGGACCGGAAGTGACACCTGCACTGCGTGTGTGTCATCGTCATTGCGGTAAACGGCGCGTAAAAGTGCGCGTGGAACGGCTTATGACACGACGAACGACACGTTCCTCAGATCTATGTAAATTGAAGAGGATCGCAGTGCGATTCCCTAGTGATCTGGATACGTGTCTGGGGTACACGGTGCAGAAACGCTGTCTTACCCTTCAAGAAATTCGCCGTGTCCGAAAAGTGCAGTTCCGAAACCGTAAGTGACATTTCTTTCCGTTTCTTTTACGTGCGTACAAATATATCGCTGAATCTCCTGTGAAGTAAACGGATACTGAAATATACGAAATGTTTCTAAAAGGCGTATCTACCTCTAAAGCGGAATCTTGAAAAAGCTCTTCTATGATGCAACGGAAGTTTAGCTACTGACTACATTATTTAATCGAGATCCGTATTTTCATCGCGCTTATAATAAGCGCGTCTATATAAACGAGAACGTTATTATACGTTTACACGTTTTCGTTTTTTAAATTTTCTTTTCCGTAATGCGAATTTGATGGCTAAATCATAAATAAAAAGTTAAGATAAAAGAAATAAAAAGTTTTTAAATTTAATTTTCAATAAACATCCCGAAGAAGTCGATATCTATTTATTTTTTTGTATGAAGAAAAATCTGGTTATACGTTATAATTTAAAGTCTAATTAATGATTTGCGAATTTGGGTTTATTAATTTCAAGAATGTTTAGTTTGATAAATTTTAATGTTATTAATTCTCTTTGTCATTGTGTTTACGCCAATACATTGATCTTATAGTTTATGATCATTACATTCCATAATGACAGAACAAATCTCATTAAATTTAATAACGTAACTATTACTATACTTAACTATTAATTTAATTAAATCTTATTGTATTTGATACAATGTCGTTCTGTGAACACATATATTTTAAGTTTGATTGTATTGTATTGCGTATTCAGTGGCTAATAATAAACGAAGGGAGCACAAATGACGTTGCTCCAAATATCGCACTAATAACCGTACAATGAGAGATGTGTATACGTATCTATATGAAGGATTAATGACGCTTGTGGTTAAAAGGGCACAATAATAATAGCAACAATTTTGATAGCGTTTTGGTATAATAACAACAACGGAACTCTTAATGTAACGACGCTCGCGATGTCGACTGGCTGGCTGATAGATTGAAATACGCGTTATTGCGTTATTGCGAATGGCGAGCAATAATATTTACTCACGGAAACAGCAAAACAGGAGAATTCTTGCTTGATTTTCTAATTGGATTTTTACGCCATTTCCGTATTGAACGATGTTGCGATGATGAGCGAGCGCGGGAGATGAGACTTCGATTTGCACTCCAGACGAAAAACGTAATACAATTTATCAGCGACGCCGTGCGAATTTCGGTGTGCCGAATATGCAATCGACTGTGACATGCTGAATATGCAATGCATTCTCCAACTTATATCTTTTGCGGAAGGAATTTTATTGGATGGCAGCCCTCGGACGCTTTGCGCTGTTCGGCAATAAAAATGTTCAAAGTTAATCGATTATCCCATCGAGTTGAGTTTAGATCCTCGTTTTTAGCTTTAGAGTTTCGTTTCGAGTTTGCCTACGGACTTTGCGTACGACACGCTACTGAAATTATACTAGCTATGCAGAGAGAAACGTGATAAAATATTCAAGCCGGTACGATATAACTTCAGTTGATCACATTACGTGTGAATGTAATATTTTTATTTTTTTATCTGAAAGTATGACAGTTTTAGAGACAACTTTCAGCGCAAACATAGTTAAAAATCCTAGTGATATTAATCTATATTTCTAATTAATCATGATGTTTTCGATGAGATGAACGAAACGTGAAATGTTTGTTTCACCATTGGAACAAAGTATAAAGAATAAACTGCGATTTTGCGTTTTTGATGTACTAAAAGATATTTGAACGAAGTTAAGATTATTGCTATATCCGCGACATGTATTTAGGGGACCACGAGATTCGGACTCTCGTGAATAGATGGTTCGCCGACAATCGGACTTATTTCCACTCGCGTGACGTAATTTCGCGAATTGCTGTCCATCGATCGTTTTCTCCGCGCCACTTCAGTGTATGCGTGACGCGATCCGTGCCGTAGAAATGGCCAATATTTTCTGACACAATAGAACCGGTAGTGGAGATTACGCGTGGCTCCACGTTCGATAACGTGGCTTTAACATTAAGCGTAGAGTTTTTGCGTCGAACGGCTTTCCGAGTGATGCCGTTACGATTCGTCCCTGTGGACGTCCGCGAGTCCATCAGCACGCAGTGGACTTGTTAAAACGAGTAATTAACAGGTGCCCATTATCGGCTTGTTGCGTGGCACTCTGGGGTTGTCAGCAATTCTTCATTGAAACGTTATTCAATCACCTGCATTACATGCTCTTCTCGTTACTATCTCTAGTGTGAAATGAGTCGATTTACAGGAAAAAGAAGAAAAAGCGGTAAATGTTCCTCTGGTGTCATAATAATAAATTAACAAATACCTAGGTGCAAATAGAAATGACAAATCGTACGTCAAGTTAATTAAATTATACGTATGTATGATAAAATCAATTTTAGATCGAGAGATTCTTGAAAAATAATTTAATTACAGAGATTGCGTAAAGGATTAAAGTTTAATTAAACTATAATAACACTTCATATTGTTATTTGTATTCTATATTGCTGCAAGCAAAAGTTGTTATATATTTTTATTTCCATTTATTTGAAAAATGTTTGGTGTGACGAATGGATTTGATAGATACTGCAGAATGAATCTCTTCCGCAAAAGCAATTGATGATTTAATATTTCGAAAACGCAGACAACGCGCTAGTGGAAAATTGTATGACTTTGTTAAACTCCGATTTTACGTTGATATTCTGCGAGAAATAGATTAGTTATCTATATTTGGTGCGTTAGATATTTTAATTTCCACATTTAGGAATTACCTTCCCAGATAATAATTTAAATAATACTATAATAATAAGAAATGAAATATTGATAATAATAGTGACCAATCTCTTAAAGAATCTCTTAATAAAATTCTATGCAACAAGATATGTGTGTGTGTGTGTGTGTGTGTGTGTGTGTGTGTGTGTGTGTGTGTGTGTGTGTGTAT